AGGGAGCGGGAGGCGGGCGGCGCGCGAGGAGGCTGAGCGAGCGGCGGGCGCGGCGGGCCAGGATGGATTTCCAGCAGCTGGCTGACGTTGCGGAGAAATGGTGCTCCAACACGCCCTTCGAGCTCATCGCCACCGAGGAGACCGAGCGCAGGATGGATTTCTACGCCGACCCCGGCGTCTCCTTCTACGTGCTGTGTCCGGACAACGGCTGCGGGGACAATTTTGTGAGTGCCGGGGGGAGGGACGGCTGCAGCGGGCGGGAGTGGACGCTTGGCCGCCTCCCTGCGCCCGAGCTGCCGCACGCCGGGGAGGCTGTGGGCGCGGGGTGGAGGCGTAACCGGCCCGGCGTGGCGGTGTCAGCGCTGCGTGGGGTGGGGGGGGCCGAGGGGGGTGGTGGGCAGGGGCGCCCTTAGAACCCGGGAGCCGGACTGGGGCGGGCTGTTTCGGGGACGCGACCCTGCGGCCCGTGCTTGGTGCTCGGCAGGGAGCTTCTGCCGAGCGTCCCCGCCGCTCACCAGCCCGGGCCGGGGCGCACGGACCATCCCGTAGGGCCCGGAGTCTCGAGCTTCCTACACCCAGGCGTCCCGTCGGGGTGAGGAATCCCGTTCCCCTCCCGATGCGCAGACACAACTCCTCGAGTTGTCCCCGCCCGGGAGAGCCCCCGCCCCCGTGTGATCCCCTGCGCTGCCGGTTTGGACACAAAGCCTCGGTCCACAGTAGCGATGCCCCATCTCCTGGACCTTCTTTGCGGAATTACACCCCGGATCTTAAAAACGCACACGCGCGTGCGCGCGCGCGTGCACACACACACACACACACACACACACAGGCACGCCTATCCCCCCCTCTCCTATGCTTCCATTGCTCCTCTGGGAGCTTCCAGCGAGGTGCGCGGGGCCCGAGCACGTTCCGTCCGGCGGAGGCGGCGGCCGAGGCCCTGGCGAAGCCCCCGGGTTTTTCCAGATGAGGGGAACCCCCCTCCCCCACCCCACTCCCGCCCCGAGCTGGGAGGGACCGGGACCAGGAACTGCGGGGTCCACCTCTTCCACTTTGTATCCTGCGCCCACTTGGGATCTTGGCGCTGGCAGTTTAGGAAGGGGATGCGGCGGGCAGGGGAGTTGGGGTGGGAGGTGCTCAGAATGGGCGAGGATGGCGCTCCATGAAGTGTTTGTAAGGCCGGGGGAAAAAATAATGGCCCCCAAATGTAAGATGGAGGCGGCTGTGGGCTCGGGTTACTGTGTGGTCGCCGGCTGGAGCCTGGATCTGGCGCTGCTGCCGCCCCTGCGGACCGAGGTGGGGCGGCGCCGAGGCGCGGCCGGCGCTGGCCCCTCAGGTGGGGGAGACAAAGCCGGGCCCAGGTCCTGGCCGCCGCGCAACCCTGCCCGCCGCGGGAAGTTCGCAGAGGAGTTAGAGAGACAGCAGGATCGCCTTCCTTGGCCCCCGAGAGACGAAGGCTTGTGTGTGACTTGCCGGGAAGGCATGCCCGTCCCACCACCGGCACCCTAGCCCCACAGACGAGAAGAACACACCTGGGCCCCAGAGTGGGGCACTAGAAGAGAGATGCCTTGGGTGCCAGCCAGGTTTGAGTTCTGCCTGTATGACTCTGGTCAGATGCCTTCCGGCAGCTCAGTTTACACATCAAAAAAATGGGCATAATACCAGCACCCAGGTGATCCATAGATAAAACACCTAACCTCTGGGCAAAACAGCAAAGGTTCCTCAGAGACCTGGGCTTCCCCAGAGTTTAGAGCTTGTCTGTCTTTCTTAAGAGCCTCAATTTTCTCGCCTGTAAAGTGAGGTTAATCAGAACACCTCCATCACAGGGACTTGTGAAGAGCAAGTAAACTGTAAATATATGTAAGAACACTGTTACCTGTAGTTAAAATAAGTGTTATTTGTTATTGGGGGGAAATGGGAGATCGTTAAAAAGGGATTTACTCCACTGCAAACATGTGAGAAAACCCCAGGGTTATACTGGAAAGGGCACCAGTGTCCAACTAACTGCCACATTAGGGTTTGATTAGGAGTCCCTCCTAACCCTAGTCTGCCAAGTGGCCTTTCCCACTCCTTACTGTGTGAGATAGAGAAGAATCACCCAAGGTTCTGGATTTTATGGGGGAGAGTTCCACACAGCCTTCTTACTGGAACTGCTGGAGACATACCCAAAAAAATTACTCCATGGAGAACCATTGTTGAGAAACAGTATGTATATCACAACTTTTTTCAAGGCCATACAAAATATATTTTAAATGTTTTCCCACCTGTGTGAGTAAAATGCTTGAACATATTCACTCTCTAACAATTAAATGAAATAGATAAGGAAGAAAGTGGATGGAAGGAAAAAGTAATTCCTTGGGTAGATTGGAACATTCTTAAAGTTTCTGGAGGCCATAATGGACAGCATGCCAACCACCAGAGATTTCTTAGCCCAAATCTCTCCTCAGATCTGTCCCAGGCCAGGTTTGTCAAGCTGCCATTTGCCCCTAGTTAAAGGGACTTAGGCATGAAGTAAGTGTCCTGCCTCCGTCCTTTTCCTTTTCCCAGGAAAATCCTGTTAAGTATTAGAAGAAATCTGAGATGAATGGAACTCCCGTAATCCGAAGGATTTATTAACAATAAGAATATTTACATAGCTTTTCTCAATTTACAAAATGTTTTCACGTGACTCATTCATTCATTCATTTATTCATCAGACATTTATTGAGGGCTTGCTTTGCACCAGGCCAGGGCCACCTAGAATATAAATAGGATCTCTGCCCTCACTTTCCTGGGGCCATTCTCCCCATCTAAGGGGCAGTGTGGCACAGTGGTCAGACTACGTGGGCTTGCACCCCAGCCCCCATGTCTAACTGTGTGCACTGGGGAAAGTTCTTTAATCCCTCTGTGCCATGATTTCCACATCTGTAAACAGGGGAATGATAACATTAGTACCTTTCCAGCAGGCTTGTTTAGAACAGTGCCTAAAATAGGGGTGGTGTTATTAGTGACTCTCTGGCAGTCTCCATACAGCAATCACTCTGGATCTATTTAAAATATAATCCAGGTCATGACCTATGACTCTCCACCTCACCTAAACTGACTTCCTATAACTTTTGACCCTAAAACCTGAGCCCTTGCCCTGGCTTCAAACCCCCACACAGTCTGTCTCCTGCCACCTCTCTGACCTCATATTAGACCAGTCTTCCTCCTTGCTTACTGTGTTTGTGCCATGCTGATTTTTCTCGTCCTCAGACATGCCAAACTCATTCCTGCCTCAGGGCCTTTGCATTTGCTGTCCCCTGTGCCTAGAACATTCTTCCCCCACATCTTCGCATGGCTAGCTCCTTTATGCCATTCAGGCCTGGGAGAAAACTTCCTGACCACATATTCCCTCATCTCACCCTCTTTTATTCAAATCACAGCACTCATTAGTACTTTATACTCTCTTGTTTGTTTTCTGCCTTCCCCATGAGGCTGTAAGCTTCATAAGAGCTATCGCCTTATCTGTCTGATTTATCACTGGATCCCAGAACTTGGAGTAGTATCAGACCCGTGATAGGTGCTCAGCCCATGTGTGTAAGTCACTATCATACCACCATGCCTTCACCATGATAGTGAAGAAGGCAGATGTTAAATTTCAAGAATGCCAGCTTCAAAGAACAGTAACTACCACTTAATGTGCAATTGACTATGTATCAGACACTGTTCTTTGTGTATACAGTAGGTACTTTGTGTATATGTGCTTGTTTAATCTTAGTAATCCTACAAGGTCCTCTCTGTGATTTTCTCCATTTTACAGATGAGGAAACTGACACATAGCAAGGTGTACTAACTTTTCCATAGCTAATAAATAGTAGAGCAACTTGAACCATAGTCCTATACTGAAAACATAGCATCCCAGGAATGACAGCTGCAAGGGTGGCTTCTTATTGGGCCTCACAAAAAGTCTGTGAGTTAGGTATGAACCCCATTTTGTAGGTGAGGAAACAGGCTCCACTGAAGGGAATCTATCCAGGACTATGCCTCTAAGAAATGACAGCCAGGACTTGAGCTCAAGCCCAGAGGCCTGTCATTTGCACCATGCAGAGTGTCAAGCCAGGAGCTCCAGAGGGCCTGGGGAACAAGGGCTTCCTTTTATTTTCCTTCCACTTTGGCAGCTCCTCGGTCCCTTGTGCACTGTTTCCTCTTCTCATCTCGCAGGCCACCCTGTTCACACCATCCCTTTCCGCACTGCTGCCCTGATTCAGGCCTGTCTCTATGGACAGTGCACAAGGTCAGCTCCTGGGATAAAACGAAGCTGCCTTTGCCCTCTATGTTGGGCAGTCGGGGACAGAGCCAGCCCTGGCTTGCTCTACAGGTGCGACAGGGAGGGGCCGAGAGCTCACAGACAGGTGGCATGCTCCCTTCTGCCAACACAGAAGGTCCGGAGGGTTTCGTCCGGCTGCAGGAGTGGGGTGTTGGCATCCACTAAGGTACCAGCTGGACAGACGGGCACGTGTGCAAGCTCTCCTGGCCATGGCAGCACCAGCTGCTTTCCGTCCTTGTCGTAGGCCAGGAGAAAGGAGTTCTAAACCAAGAACGCTGCCCTGTGGCTCCCTGGCGCCTGGGTGCTCATGACTGGAGAAGGGGAGGGCTGCCTTATTGTCCTATTTTTTCTGCCAACCCGTCAAAAACATGTTTGGATCTAAAATTTGGTACAGTTTATCCCTCCTCGATGTGAAAACAAAGATAGCAGTTGTCACTCTATTGAAGAAAAAAGGCTCTATTTATAGAAGGACCATGTGATTTAATTTTAAGTGTGTGTATACATGTATTTGTATATATTTTCCCCCATTTTTGTTCTAGGCATGTCTCTATTCTTAACTATGTGACCAAATAACAACGTTTTCATTTTGGAGAAGAAAACAGAACTTGTCTAAATGAGATTGCATCACCTCATGTGGTGGGACAGTGGAGAAAAAGCACCTTCTTGTCCAATTTAAACTCACCCTCAGTTTCCTCCTATGTCAAATGGGGATAATCATACCTATATTACGGTATTATTGTGGGGATTAAATGAGAGGTCGTGGTAACTGTAAAGCTTACCACAATGGCTGTGCGTTATTCATATAGAGATTCTTTAGGGGAAAGCGTATGTCTTTAGTATATTCATAAAGTGGTCATCCTGAGGAGAGTGAAGTTATGCTAATATGAATTTCAACAGATGGGAAGAAGCACTCTGGGCTCCTGCTAAATGAGAGGCAGTCCGTAGGCTATCCCCTATCATCTTGCTAACCACACTGTATTATTATTTTCTGTGACTTACAAATGAAGGAGCTGAGGCTCAGGTTGAATGTGTGCTCACCTCTGTTGATATCTTGGCTTTGCCCCTTGCTCTCTGTGTGACCACAGACAAGTTGCTTAACCTCTCTGAGCTTCAGTTTCCTCCTTGGTAAAACGTATCAGTGGCCGGCACAAAGAGCAGGTCATAGGTATGGCCAGCCACACTCTTCTTACCCTGTGCAGAAGTATTTTGGGGGGGATGAGATGGCGTGTAGCTTTTCTCTTTTAGCATCTCTTCAGTGGACAGCAGTCAGTTTTGGGTTAAGCCACACTAACTCAAAATCGACTCCCCGGTACTAATGATGGCAGAAACCCCACACGGCAGTCCTACAGTGAAAAGTGAGGCCCCTGGCAATGAATTTTCACTCCGATGACTGAGTCCAGGGAGGAGAAACAGGTGTGTTCTTTGCCCCCCCAGCCACCCCCCACTCTGGCCTAAGCACCAGGAAGCCGAGCGCCATGCCCGCAAGTGTTAGAACAGTAGGAGCACACAGACTGTGCTCAGAAAGATATTTGCAGGATTGAATTACCATAGTGGTCTAAGACCATTTTTGGATGAGCTGGGTGTTCTCATCTATACTATAGAAAACAGAAAGGTGTTCATTTTCCTGTGTGCAGATGCCACGGTTCTAATGTCTTAAGCTGGACAAACTTTGATGCTAAACTCTGGTCCAACTTAATGACAGAAGGGCCACAGATGGCCTGTTCTAAAATCAAAGTTCTCATCAGGGATTTTCATCCCCGCCCCCAAATATGATTCGTCGAAGTTCTGGTCTGGTTCTGGTTCTCACAGTGTGGGCCCCAAACCAGCAGCATGAGCAGCACCCGGAAACCGGTTGGCAATGCAGATTCTTAGCCCTGCTCCTGGCAGTTGTGTCTTAATAAATTGAGGGATGGGGAAGGGGGGGTGTTATGGTGCTTGCTGAAGCTGGAGGACCACTGCTGTCCTCTCCTTCAGAAGCCTTCCCTTGGTATTCCTCCTATTATAAGGTGCCTTAGCTCTCACTGCATGGTTGGAAAGTCAATACATTCTGTACCTAGATTTATATTTGCCAGAGAGTTACATTGTTCAAAGGCACAGGTTCTCTGACCTCTGCTATAGTTTTTTCATGGCCAAAGTGGCTGTTTGGTTGAATTTCCAAGTCGGAGTCATTGTGGACACACCCGGTGGTGCAGGGTTCTGGGTCTTCAATCACCCATTTATCTTTGTTTAAGACTAGACCCCAGGATCTGCTTTCAGGAGCATCAGCCCAGCCACCAGACATTCTGTCTGCCCTCTCCGGGTTTTAGAATGGGCCCCTCTCTTTTTCCTAAGAAATGACCCTCAGTCCATCGCCTGTTCTGAAGAGCTCATCTGTTTTTTCCGGGGGCACTGCCTCAGGCCACTGATGGAACCTCCTTCTCTGCATAGGCCTGTAGAAAGCCATAGAGGCAGTCTGTGTCCCATCCACAGCAAAGGGCCAGGCCTGTTTCCCTGGCACTGTTGGTCCTAATCTCACTTGGTTTTATATTCTTCTCCTTCCATTGTTTTCTCTCTGTCCTTATTTTCCCAACTACAGACTCTTACCTTGTCTTTTATGGGTCTTTAATGACTGCCTTGATTCATTTCGGAAGGAAACAGTTTCAATAAATAAACCTGAATACTTTCTGTGATGAGCTCCTGTGGGTATGAAACAATTAGCATTAACTAAGGGATGTCCTTTAAGCGGCCACGAGCACCTGAGTTGGTCTGACTCCAAACCCCACGCACCCTTGTGTTATCATAGGGGCAGGGATTTGCTTAAAACTTTTTTAAACCCACAAAACCAACACAACTGAGAGTTAGACAGCCAAATCAAGGAGATTTAGGCAGACTAGACAGAAGGTTCTTTAGCAGGTGGTAAGTCTTCCTGCTCCAAAATATATTCATAAGTCAGCAACTCCGGAGGCGGAGCAATGAAAATTGTGGCCTGAACACTCTCCTCACGAGGTTAGAAATGCCCTAGAGACACTTAGAGAACCTGTCTGATTTCCAAGCAGTAGTGGATATGAGGCAAGTCTGTTGCCTGAGTGATATACTTTCCTTAGTTTACTTTGTAATTTAAAGCCCAAATATACTTTCAAAAGTAGATATCCAAGGTTCTCATAGCTACACCGACTGGTGAATGAACTAGAACTCAGGTTGCCTTGGGCACTGTTCTCCGTGAAATCACAGTAGGCGTCTCATTTGCTCACCACGTGCCCTTCGGCTTGGGGCAGGTGGAAAGCCAGCCCATGCCCTTCCTCTCCCTTCTCCTGCCCACACAAAAGAGGTGAGAGGGTGCTTACGCCCATCGCCCACCATTTATTGAACATCCACTGCATGCCAGCCAGGCACAGTGCCAGGCACTTAATGAACTTTTTCCTTTTTCTCTAATAGTTACAGGCCTAGGAAAGGCAGGATTATAGTTTTCTATTGTGCGGTGCTGGATATTAATCCCATCTTTCACTTGGTTAAGAATTTGAAACATGCTGGACCTTTAAAAAATGTGAGCACGAAAATGGGTGCTGAGCAGAGCTTATATGAAAGCAGCACTTTATTGTTCTTGCTGAATCCCTGCCGCTTGAGAATGAAGTGTGGTGATGGATCTAAAAGCACTTTGTGCTATTACACTTTTGTACAATGTAAGAGACTATTACATAAGTGGCATTTCGGTGGCTCCACAACTGTAAGGGTCTCTAATTAATAGGGAATTGAGTTTGAGCTATTGTCTAAAGTTAGGGAATCTAGAAGTTATCTTTGTTAGGTCGGGGCAGAAGTTCCTCCAGAAGTCTGCTGGAATTAGAGCAGTGCGTGTGTCAGAAATGGAACTTTACTTCTACAAAACACAGATAATTTGGGGGGGAAATGGCACATTAGCACCTAGGTAGTCTCTTGGACCTGAGCAGTATTTTAAGTCTGTAGGTCCCGTTCTTAGAAATGCTGCCAAGGAGAAGGAAGGAGGTGAAATGTGTTTCTCGAGTGATTGACATAGAACTTTCTGGGGTGATGCCCTAATCATTGTATTAATGGAAGGGAGCAAGGGCGTGCTTGGCATAGACTATTTCTCCAAATAGATCTCATCTCCTGCTGCCTCGTTTCTGCTCCTTGCTTTAATTTGCCAGCTGTCTTCCTCCCTCCCACGCCACTACACTTTTCCACCAATGGTGGAGCTGTCATGGATTGGTCCCCTCTAAACAGTGACTCTCGGTCAGATACCCTGACGTTACCCTGGTAGCCCAGGGCCTCTCCCTAGCTCAGAGATGCCGAGCGGGCGGGTGGGGGGGTTCTGCACTTGGGATCCCTCAAGCCTGTTTCTTGGGCTTATTCCAGATCTTTGAACATTATGGGAGAGACTTGTCTGGTCTTCAGGAGGTGCTAAAACAGATATCCTCATGCGGGAAAACAAACAAACAAACAAAACCAAACCTTGTCTAGCCTTAAGAAAAAATACACCCTAAAACCGGTCTCCTCTTGGTGCATGTTACCATTGGGAAGCAAGCCCTCTTGGAGCATTTGTAAAGAAGGTGAGCTTTCAGAGAGCCTTTGCTTCTCTATGACCCCGGCAATGGCTTTTCTGGGTGTTCCTGTAAATTCATTTCATTTTTGTTTTGTTTTCATTCATTTCATCTTAAAGTAAATATACCATCACCCCCACTCACAGGCTCATCTGAGTAAAGAATGTCTCATTGCAAGTTAGTGGTTACAAACTATGCTTAATTAACCCCTCAGCTATAGTTGAAAGCGAGGTTAGAGATCCTGCAGGCTCTTGGTTCTTCCTCCCTGCTGCTTTAAAATCCCCCTTACCCAGCTCAAGAAGAACTGTGGAAATTGTGGGTGGGGGACTATTGATCCCCCCGCCTTTTTTGCTACTGCTGAGCAGATCTGCTGGAGAATTGAGCAGGTGAGATTATGGATGGAAAGCACAGGGATTTTCTACGGGGTAGGCATTTTCTCATCCCCTTCAATGCAAGCGAATCAAGAATGAGCATCAGAATTTTACTTGGGAACAGAGGCCTTCAAATTTCTGTCATTCAAAAAAAAAAAAAAATCTTTTGGGCTTTTCGAATTTCACACTGAGGGTAATGACTGTGTGTCTTTTTTTTTTTCCTCCCCTCCCCCCGCCCCTGGCTGTGGGCACATAGCACGTGTGGAGCGAGAGCGAGGACTGCCTGCCTTTCTTGCAGCTAGCACAGGATTACATCTCCTCCTGCGGCAAGAAGACGCTCCACGAAGTCTTGGAAAAAGTCTTCAAGTCTTTCAGACCTGTAGGTGCCTGCTTGGCTTCCAAAGCCATCTTGTTTTCTACAGTGATTGTGCTCAGAATTACAGGGACGGTGGGGAAAGTGGGCAAAACCTGGGATGACTAACTGTTTTTCTCTTGTCTGCTTTGTGGCTTAAAGATAGCAGCGAGGGGAAGGAGGGAGAGGGCGGGGAGGGAGGGGGGAACGGGATGTGACACAGCTGTTTGTTGCAGGAATGATGGTTATTTCTAGCATCACTTGAGAATCTCTGATAGGGTGGGAAGCAGACAGCCTTGATGAGACTTCTGAGTATTCCTGCTCTTGTCCAGTAGACTTAAGGCCAGAATGCTTGGAAGCGCCGTGGAGGTTCTCTTACCATAGTGAGGCCTATATTTGGGGAGCTGCCGGAAGGCTATATACAGGATGTGCTTCCATGTCTATGGGTACGGAGAAGGATGAAAGTGGATACTGGTTGTGTTCTTCTCTCTTTTTATAAACTCTCTAGTAGAGAGCTTGCTTTCTGCCCGCCACCCACCACCCCCCCTCCGCCCCACCCCAGTGTAGGATTTAAGAATCTGTATATCCGGGGCTAGCTGACAGTTTGTTTTCATTCTAGCTGAAAAACGTGTAAAGTGAATTCTCACCCCTATTTTGAAGATGACCTATTTCCCTTTATCTTTACTGGGAGGTAAAGTCACATTACTGGTGTCATGATACTCCTCCCCGCCCCCCCTCCAAGTTCAGTTCCCTGCCCACCATAAATTCTCTACACCTTCAATGATACTCGCTCTAGAATTTTTTTTCAGATCTTTTAAAAGAGTATCTACTTCTCTGTTGCAATTTTCAAGCTTGCCTTTCAGTGCTCTGAACATAGTGGGCATGATTGCATGGTCGTGTGAGAGACTATCTGACATTCCAGTATTTTAAGGTTTGTAAGTCTGTTTCGTTGCCTTTTGTTTCAGCTGGCTCTTACTCTTGGTATCTGGTCTCTTTGCGTCTTGGATTATCTCTGTGTACTGGTTATAGTATTTGAAAATGTGTATTTAGGAGTAAATCGAAGTCTGAGATGATGGTACCTTCCTCCAGAGGGGATCTTGATCTGTTTCTGCTGGGGCTTGGGAGGCCCTATCAGCCTGAGATCACCTTCAAACAATTTAAGACATGTGGTTCTTAGAACTCTCCAGGTGATGAAAAACCAGGCTGCACATCTGCTTTCTAGTCCATCCTTGTCCTGAGAGCTGTCTTATTAGTCCATTTAGGCTGCTGTAACAAACTATCAGAGACTGAGTGGCTTATAAACAACAGCCATTTATTTCTCACAGGTGCAGAGGCTGGGAAGTCCCAAGATCAAGGTGCCAGTAGATTTGGTGTCCAGTAAGGGCCCACTTCATAGACAGACAGCTGTCTGTTCGCTGTAACCTCACATGGTGGAAGGAGAGGGAGATGTCTCTAGGGCCTGTTTTATAAGAACACTAATCCCGTTCATGTGGGCTCCACATTCATGACCTAATCACCTCCCAAAGATCCCACCTCCTAATACTGTCCCCTCAAGGGTTAGGATTTTAACATGTGAATTTTGCAGGGACACAAACATTCAGACAATAAGAGGTCTTTGGGATCTCAGCTTAAAGTGGGGATGGCTTATCACGGTGTGCTCCTTTGGAAGACCCTGGGTTTGACTTTGGTCCCCCTAGCTCTTAGAGTAGGCCAGGAATGCAGTAAAGTTTCTAGCTGTTTCTTTCTAGGTCAACAGATGCTCTCAGGACAAAAGCAGCTTTTTATGTTTACCTCTCTAGGTTCTAATTCTTCAATATATTTAAGAAGGCATTTTTCACATTTAATCCAGCTTTTTTAGTTCTCTGAGCAAGAGTTGGTCCCAATCACTCAATCCACCATTACAAGAAATAGAATTTCAGTGGCTTTTCTCACTCTCTCTGATCTGTATCATTTGTCTAGCCAATTTGTTTTTTCTTTCTTAATTTTCTAAGCCGCTTGGCTCATTCAGAACAGACTCGTGACTGAAAAGTACTGATCTATCCTTCATGCATTCCATATATATTTATGTGTACCCGACTACTCTGTTCCAGCACTTAATTCAAACAGATGAAAATCTTATCCTTATATTCTAGTGGCGGTGGGGGAACAAGGTAAATAAGTCCAGCACATAAAGTATTAGTGATAAGTGCCAAGGAGAAAAAATGGGTAAGTCGGGGTAAGGCAGTAAGGAGTGTCAGAGGTACTGGATTTTTTTATTAGGAGACCAGAGGAAGCTTCACTGTGAAGTTCACATTTGAGTATGACTTGAAGCGTGAATCATGAGGAAATCTAGGGGAGAGCTTTCCAGGTAGAGAGAACAGCAAATACAAAGGCTGGGAGGGGGGCGGAGGTGGGTGGGGAGAAGAAATCAGTGTTCAGGGAATAAGGAGGGGCTTATGTGGCCCGAGTGGAAGGGTGGTAGGGAAGAGCAAGAGAGGAGCCTGAGGTATTTCAGGGGTTTGCAGGTCACAGAAGGATTTAGGTTTTACTCTGGTGTGACGGGAGCCATCGGAGGAGTTTGAGTGCAAGAGGGATCCGGCTTGGGGTGCCTGGGTAACTCAGTCGGTTAAGCATCTGCCTTTGGCTCATGTCATGATCTCATGGTCCTGAGATCAAGCCCCGTGGTGGGCTCCCTGCTTGGCGGGGAGTCTGCTTCTCTCTCTCCCTCTGCCCCTTCCTCCGCTCCTGCTCTCTCCCAAATAAATAAAATCTAAAAAAAAAAAAAAAAGCCAGAGGTATCTGACTTCACATTTTGAAAAGCTCCCCCGTGACCAGTTGAGAATAGGCAGCAAGGGGCGGGTGGGAGCAGGGGACCAGTGCGGAGGCCGTTGGGTCGCACAGGTGAGAGGATGAGGGTCACAGTGAAGGTGGAATGAAGGGGTCAGACTCTGGACTTGCTGGCGGGGCTACAAGTGGGGAGTGAGAAAAAGAAGGCAAGGATGATCCAGAGTTCCTTGCCCGCGCAATGAAGGGAATGGTGCTGTCCTTTACTGAGATGGGGGAGGCTGCAAAAGGAATAGTTGGGCGCCCATACTACCAGGAGCTTGGTTTGGGGCACGTCACTGTCAGAAATGCCTATTAGACATCCAAGCAGAGATATCAAAGTAGGCAAATTTTTTTTTAAAGATTTTATTTAGTTCCTTCACAGAGAGAGACACAAGCGAGAGAGGGAACACAAGCAGGGGGCGTGGGAGAGGGAGAAGCAGGCTTCCTGCGGAGCAGGGAGCCCAACATCAGGCTCGATCCCAGGACCCTGGGATCATGACCTGAGCCGAAGGCAGATGCTTAACGACTGAGCCACCCAGGAGCCCCCAAAGTAGGCAAAATTTAAAAAAAATTGAACCCCCCCAGGAGCACCTCGTGGCTCAGTCGGTTAAGCATCCCACTTGATTTTGGCTCAGGTCATGATCTTGTGGTCCTGGGATGTAGCCCCCCCGCCCCCCCGCAAGGCTCTGTGCTCAGTGGGGAGTTGGCTTCAGATTCTCTCTCCTCCTGCTCACTCTCTCTCTCTCAAATAAATAAATAAAATCTTAAAAGAAAAATTGAACCCCTCAAGTCTTAACCAGAAAAAAAATCTATTCGCCAATGAGATCCACTTTGCAGCTGGTGTCCTCATGGGGGTTGCATTCATGGCCCCACCACCTGGTTTTCTTCCTGCGCCCCTTCTCCTGGATGGCAAGCAAAATTCCTACAGAATTGGCCTCATTGGAGAAGGCGAGCTCCCGCCAGAACTCGTTTTGCTGTTTTTCTTTACCAAGAAGACCTGGCCGCGTTTCGGCAGCCAGGCAGCCACACGGAGAGGGAAAGAAATGAATGCAGTCCAAGAAAATCCAGGTGCATAGCTGAACGCAAGTGGGTTGTTTGAACATTTTCTTTCAGATTCTGCTGCCGCGTGCCCTGGAGACACACAGACTTGATCTGATGTCGGACTTCCAGGGTCCCCTTCTAGAGCAGAGCCTGACATTCTAGGCAGGGCTGTGCTCCCCAGGAGAGGAGGCTCCCCGGTACAGCGCCCCTCTGGTGGGGGAGTTGATAATGTGCCAGGCGCCCTCTGGCTGGGCTATTTTGCCCCTCAGGGAGAGGCGGGTGGGAGGGCCGGGCAAGGTGAAGTGCAGGCAGGGCTTTGGGTTTCCCTCAGCCAGGATGTGCCCCAGGTTGGATGATTCGAGGAGCATGACAGCCCACAACAAGGACCTTCTGCTGGAGGTCCACAGGAAACTTTCCCCGCTCTCCTCCATTCACGGGTGTGGTTCCTCCCACTGCTGCTATTTGTCTGTTGGTTTCATGTAAGGGAGCTTTGTGTTTAGAAATAAGACCCAGAGGGGCGCCTGGGTGGCTCAGTCGTTAAGCGTCTGCCATCAGCTCATGTCATGATCCCAGGGTCCTGAGATCGAGCCCCGCATCCGGCTCCCTGCTCAGCGGGGAGCCTGCTTCTCCCTCACCCCTCACCCCGCTTGTGCTCTCTCTCTCTCAAATAAATAAATAAAATCTTAAAAAAAAAAAAAAGAAGAAGAAGATCCAGCACAAGGGCTTGCCCAACTTTGCACACTGTGCTTTCCCCCTTCTCCTCTCGTGTGTGCCTTCCCCCCACCGAAACGAGCAGTATCACAGTCAGAGTCCTCCCCCGACACGTAAAGAAATCTGTTGTTGGATTTGAAAAGCAAAAAAGGTTTTTCTTTTCCTTTTTCTCCATCTCACTCCTCCTCTTTTTTCACTATTTCTTCATTCCATTTTCAACAAAATATATTGATCATTTGCTATTTGCCAAACACCACTTTGGAGAGTGAGGAGCAGGATGCAGTGCCCAGTTCTTGCCCTCGAGGAGCTGACTTTCTGGTGGGAGAGACAGCCGCGAAAACATACGTGTTACAAGGCAGAGTCCAGACACTCTCCTAGATACTGTGCAGAATTAGCAAAGGAGTTCCATTCCCCGCTGTGCTTACTCCACTTTGGGGAAATATTTCCTAAGAGGACGTTAGTGACCTTGT